AAGGAAGGAAGGGGAAGAGGAAGGAAGGGTGGGAGGGAGGGACAAGTAAGTTAAGGCCCCTCCCAAGCCTTCTGGGGTCAGCAGTGGGGCCCAACGCAGCTGCAAAGGGCGGCAGGGGTGGGGACCAAACAGGAGTGGAGGGTGTCGATCCACTGAGCCCCCAGCCGCAGGGCCTCCTCTCCAGGCTCAGCAGCCCACTGTTGGGGGGACAGTGGCCTGGCTGTACCTCCCGGGCCACCAGCTGGGCAGTGTGCCCACAGGGCTGCTGTCTTCCTGGGCCCTGGAAGGGGTGGGAGCAGCTTCTTGAGGCAGCTCCAGCTGGGGACACAGAGGTGTCTCTGTGGGCAGCTGGGGTTCTGTTCCCTCCAGCCTCTATTCCTCCATGGTGGGGGGGCTTCAGGCAACCCCAGGACATTAGCAGCCTGAGCCCAGTATGTGGGCCTCACCTTCTGCAAATCCCCACTGAGCCAGAACTAAGCGCAGCCTGAAATCACCCAGCCTCCTGCCTCAGTTTCTCTATCTGGACCCCATCTAAACTTAATTACATCAGCAAAGACTCTACCCTCACAGAAGGTTACAAGTCAAGGCCCCAGTGGGGCCTGGTATTGTGGAGTGGAAGCTGAGATCTGAGGATCATAATTTGAAGCCAGCCAAGGCAAGGAAGATCCACCAACAAAAAGCTGGACTGGAAACGTGGTTCAAGTGGTGGAGTGTCAGCTGGGCTAAACTTTAAAAAAGACTAGGGGTGTGGCTCAGTGTTGGGGGTGTGGCTTGTGTCAGGGATATGGTTTCAGTAGTAGAACACCTGCCTATGAAGCAAAAGGCACTGGTTCACTAATATCAGAAATAGGGCTGGGAAGGTGGCTCAGTGGTAGAGCGCTTGCTTTGCATGCCTGAGGCCCTGGGTTCGATTCCTCAGCACCACATAAACAGAAAAAGCTGGAAGTGACACTGTGGTTGAAGTGGTAGAGCGCTAGCCTTGAGCTGAAGAGGTGAGGGACAGTGCCCAGGCCCAGAGTTCAGTCCCCATGACCGACAAAAAACAAAACAGAAAAAACAATTTTTTTTTTTTTAGAGATTCCCAGTGAAGAGCTGGAAGCAAGTGGCTCAGGCTTATTAAATCTAGCTACTCAGGAAGCTGAGATCTGAGGATCGTGGTTCAAAGCCAGCCTGGGTAGGAAAGTCCATGAGATTCTTAACCACCAGAACACTGGAAGTAGTGCTGTAACTCAAAGTGGTAGATCAAAAGAGCTCAGGGGCAGTGCCCAGGCCCTGAGTTCAAGCCCCACCTTTTTTTTCTTTTGGTACAGGGAGAAACTATATCCGACTCTACAGAAAGACAAAGCCATATGGCATAATGAGGTGACCCCTACTTTTTTATTTTTATTTTTCCAGTACTGGGGTTTAAACTCGGCACCTTGTGCTTGCTCATCTATGAGCCATGCTTCCAGTCCAGTTTTTTGCTGGTTAATTGAAGATAGATTGTCACAGGCTTTTCTGCCCAGTCTAGCTTTTATTTTTTTTTGGGGGGGGAGGGTGGGTCCGGTCATGGGGCCTGAACTCTGGGCCTGGGCACTGTCCCTCAGCTCTTCAGCTCAAGGCTAGCACTCTACCGCTTGAGCCACA